GGGGGAGACACAAATGGATGTGGAGGATGTGCATGGAGATGTATTTAACTGTGGTGAGGTACAACAGCTCTAAATCTGTGGGAAGGGAAGGGAAGCAGCTCTTTGTATGACTGAAGAATCTTCTCAGACTGAGCTCTTACCCCCAGACATCCCAGAGAGGAATATTCTCCCCATTCCTCTCCACAGGTCTCATTTTACCCCCCAAAAAAGGGGGTGTGATGCAGCAGCACTGAATCAGATATTTTGCTACTGAGACCCCGTTTCCAGCACTCCAGATCCAAGAAATAGGATATTTTAAATGCTGATCAGTGGCTGGAAAATGGAAACACGAGTAATTAATTACTAGTTCTGCTCTCTAGTCAAGTGGAGGCAACTAGTCCCTCAGGTAACTGTGATCTCAGCACAACCAGGCCTCTCCAAAGTCCTGCCATGCCCTTGATCCCCCCAGTTAACGGGGTCTTTGCTCTCTAATCGTGCCCCAGACTGCAGCTCAATCCTCCACTCAACCATTTCTATTTTAATCTTCCTTAGAGACCTGTCAGGTTTGGAGTGTCAGCCTCTTCCGTAAAATTAATTCCTAAATCCCAATATTCTATTGCACAGGTGTGATATGGAAGAGAAGAAAACGAGCCCTGGTGGTGGCTGCCCGTGGCTGTGCAGGGAGTGACTGAGGCAGAGCCTGGAGCCCCCCTGCCCTTCACTCCCCTGCTCCTGAACCTGTCAGAAACTTGTCCCTGGCCTGTGGTTGTTCCATCTCTTTGCTCAGAGTTTTAGGGTTTGGGATTGTTTAAAAAGCACCTTTGCTGTACCTCAGGGAACCCCCCGTGATGGGGAAGGAGCCCTGCAGGAGCCCACGAGCTTTAGTTGTTCTTTAAGTTGATTTTTGGAATTTTCATCTTGGCATGAACCCGGCTGGGCAGAGGAGGGGGCACTGTGGGGCTGAGGGGTGTGTGCAGGGCTGGGACAGCTCTGCAGGACCCTGCAAAGGCTCCATGGAGGGCACAGGGATGGGCAGAGCTGGAGGATGCCCCAGCTCTGAGCACCTCCTGTCCTGGGGAGCCTGGAGAGAGGGCCAGGGGGAAATGGAGAAAGGGATAAAAACACAGACAGACCAATCTCCAGGACTTGGCAAATGTCATTCCAGGACCTGGGCTCTGCAAATGTCATTCCAGGACCTGGCTGTGGCACCGGATCCAAAGGGATGGAGAGGGAGAGGGGTGTTCAGCACAAGACAAGAGCTGCTGCAGCATCGCTTTGGACTGTGTCTCTTCCTGTAATATTAACGTTTATTTAGGCTTTGGAAAGGTTGACATCGTTTTGTGCTTTTGGCTTTGAAGTCCAAAGCTGAATATTTTGGCTGTGACCTGCTCCAGGCATCGGCCACAGAGGGGGAGCAGCTGCTCCAGCAGTGCCCCAGCACTGGGAAATCGGGAGTGCTGGGGGCTCTTCAGGAAAGTTCTGGATTTCCCCTGGAGATCCAGCTCAGGTTTCCTGTCACAGCTCGTCTCAGAGGACGCGGGGGGTTCCCCTTCTTCTGTCCCAGCCCTGCCAGGCTCAGGGAGCGTTTGGACAACACCCTCAGGCACGGGGGGTTGTTGGGCTGTGCCGTCCCCAGGAGCCCCCAGCTCCCCCGGAGTGGTGGGCAGGGACACACGGAGCAGCCTCTCGAGAGCTGCCGTTTATTTCGAGCTAAAATGGACCTTCCCATTCCGCCCTGAAAAGACAAAAAAGTCTTTGCCAGTGATTTGTTTTGCTGGAGCCCCGTTTGTCTCTGGCTCCCGATTACAGCTCCAGGGGATGCACCAGGAACATTCTCACAGCCTCGCAAATGCTCCTCTTTATCCTTTTAAACTGCTTTTATTGCCCTGCCCGGCTCGGGAGCTGCCCCTGCTGTCCCAGCCGTGCTGGCAGTGCCTGTGCAGGCTGAGGGAGCAGCAGGGCTGGGCAGGACCAGCTGGCACTGGGATGGGGGAGAGGAGCTTGGTGCCTGTGAAGTTAATTATTCACTGGAACTGGCTCTTCCCTGGTGAATTCCATTTAATCTTCCCTGCACAATTTCCTTCAGAAACCACGAGGCCCATAATGAGCCCGGCCCAGAGCCTCTGTTCTTTGCAGGTGAGCAGGTTAATTCTCTCCGTAATCAGTTAATTGCAAAAACTGGAGCTATTGATGGCGAGTTAGAGGGAAATCTGTACAACACCTTGTCTGGGCCTCGTGAGGGAAACCACCGGGGAGCAGGCTGGCCCTGGAAAGGATCCAGGAATTCTGAAGCTCTTTGTAAAACACTTGGTCTCAAAAAATCCAGAAAGAAGAGCAAACATTCAGCAGTGAGCAGATTTATTCCTTACTGTTCTCTTCCTTATGTTTGCTTTTTAGGAGTCCTGGTTTTTTTCTACTTTTTAATTTCTTTCTGCATCATGAGTTCCACATTCCCTTCCAAGGTTTGGGTGCTGCTCCTCTTACACCTCCAGCAGCACAACTGGTAGCTCTGCCACCATCTCAGCCTTGTTTAGTTTTTCAAACACAAACCACATTTTCTCTTGTCCTCTTTGCAGCCTCACATGGGAACATCAGTCTTTGCTCAGCTCCCCAGTGGCTGAGCCAGCCCTGCCTCCAGCTCCTGTCACTGCTGGAAGTCATGGAATCCTGGAATGGTTTGGGTTGGAAGGGATCTTAAAGACCTTCTCATTCCAACCCCTCGCCACGGGCAGGGAACAAGGTGGGCAAGCTGTCAGTGAAGTGGCAGCACCAGGGTGATGCTGTCCCTTGTCACCCAAATCTGCTGCCATACACTGGACACTGAAGCCCCTCCATCCCATCTGCTCCTGGGCTCTGAGCTTGGAAATCTCCTCCTGTCAGAGCTGAGAAACCAGCCCGGTCACACAACTGGCCCAGAACGTCCCTGTGACACTCAGCAGCCCCCACGTGTCTGAGAGAGAAGGAGTGACAACATCCATGGATCTGTTTGTGCTGGAGCAGATGGGAATGGGCACCCAGAGGCCGTGGGCAGCAGGTCCCTGAGCTCCACACTCCCAGTGCTCCTGGGAGAGCCCCTGGGCTGCCGTGGGCACACCGGGTACCAGACAGGCCGGCAGACCCTGGCTTAGCTTTCAGGGAGGAGGGCAGGGCTGCCATTCCCCAAAACCAGCCCCAGCAGAAGAGCAGGAAATGTCTTTGTGCCAATAATGGCCAGAGGCAGCAGCAGCACTGAGCCCTCATTGGGATGCAGCACTTCAGCAGTTGTTTTGAACAGGTCAGAGGTGCCAGATCAGAGCAGAATTTAACTCCTTTCAGTGTTGCTGAGGCTGAAGTCATTAATGCTGTGGTGTGGTGCCCACACAGAGCAGCCCACGCCCTGTGGCACCCTGGGACAGCCCCAGCACTTCCCTGAACCCCAAACACAGCAGCTCAGCCCAGGGCTCCATGGGACAGCCCAGAGACCCCTGGAACAAGGACAAGTGTTCCAGGACCTGCACAAGGGGCTCAGCTCCAGCCCCAGAGGAGCCCTGGGCTGCCAGGGGCTGTTGGCAGGAACAGGGGAAGCCAGAGAAGGTGGTTCCATGGGCTTGGAGGTCATGGAATCCTGGAATGCTTTGGGTTTGAAGGGACCTTCAGGACCATCTCACTCCACCCCCTGCCATGGGCAGGGACACCTTCCACTGCCCCAGGCTCCATCCAACCTGGCCTCAGACACCATCCTCCCACTTCCAGCCCAGCCCCTGCCCACCCTGGGCACCACTGCTGTGGGCAGGGACACTCCAGGCCCTTCTCTACTGGAACCTGCTCCGAGGGATCTGTTCTCCAGGGCTGATTTCTGTGCCTGAGCAGTTCTGTTGATGGCCACATCAGGATTCTGACACTGGAAATGGAGCCAGTGCAGCACAAACACATTTGTAGCACTTGCTTTGCTGTAGCACTTCCTACTAATTCCACACAAATATTCCAATGGCAGGCAGAGCTTCCAAATGTGCCTTGATTTAATAATAAAAAAAAGCAATAACCTGCCATCCAGCCATCTCCAGTGCCTGAGAAATGAAAGGCATTTCTGATTTGAGTGGGCTCTTCACCCAATTAATGTGAGTCATAATTTCAGGCATTTTCTTTCACAATTTGGTATCAGGAAAGATGCAAATGGAAATTGTGCACAGGAGATGTATCCCAGGACAGAGGAGATGCTTATGGTAACCTCAACAACTGCCATCAACTCTAATGGAGGCAGGAACTTGCTAATAAACTTCCTGCAGAATCACCCACTGAGGAGCATTGCTATGACAGCAGAGCCACTCACATCCACTCGTCCCTGATTAGGAAATGTTCCCCAGGATGGCTGGCAAAGGGAAAATCTACCTTCTGGCCTGGGCTGCCTGCACAGACACAAACACCCTCAGCCACGGTGCCCACCTGGAAAGCTTTCTGACTCTCACAATGGCCTTTGGGCAGGGCTCCACCAGAGCTGGGGCTTTACAAGTCACCTCATTTGTCCCAGCCACACACTGCAATTTTAGGAAATAAACACATTAAACAATGTGCAGCAAAGGGCTTTGGCAATTCCTCCAAGTGTTTGTTTTAAAGGAAGAGAGAAAAGGTAAATTGATCTTGCTGATAGGAAACCCTTCTGCAAAGTGATTCTACCAAATGAAGAGGACTTGGATTTATTTTGAAATCTTTTCTCACACTCAGGGAAGGCTCACCTGGGGTTTGTTTGTGTCCCACACACCCAGAGCCAGGCTCAGCCTTGTGAGGAGTGTCTGAGGTTCCCAGTGATGTGGGACATTAAAGAGGAATTGTTTCAGCAAAGCCCTGCTCAGTCCCATGCAGGGGCTGAGCAGTGTTGCATTAACAAATTAAAGAACCTCAGGGCCTGGCACAGAATTTTTATTTGAATGCATTTAATTGCATTCCTAGCTTTTTTTTTCTGAAAATAATCTTTACACAGGGCGCTCTCCAATTAAAAATGACACATTCAAAGTGTTTGAAAGCACCCTGGTTAATTCAGCTGAGTGGAAAGCTGTGGACTGAGAGCCTCACGTGTGGGAACAGCTTTGTTTTCCTCCCTGTCCTTTGGAAAACAGTCTGGTTGTCCCTCCACTTCTGCATTCAGACACAGATGGGGGTGGTGTCTCCACAAAGGATTGGAGGTTCCTCTTGGTGCTTCCACTGATAGGGAAGAAAACTCCTGTTCAGCACCTTTAAATTCCACACCCTCAGTTCCCAAAGGTGCCTTTCACCAGAGCTGGCAGGGCTGGTCCTGCACTCCCACTCCTGCTCTGAGGGGCTGAGGTTTCAAAGGTTTAGACACCGGTGACAGGAAATGCCACTGCCCGAATTTCACTGCCACTGAATTAATTGTTGTGAGAGAAAATCCCCCGGGATAACTCCTGGCACAATGTCCCTTCCCAGGCTGTGCCTGCAGGTGCCCAGCCCAGCACGGCAGGGACCACTGGGCTCACACTGGGCTCCTCTCCTGCACCAGCCCAGTCCATCCCAGGGCATGGGAAGCCATGGCCCCATTCCACATGTTGTCCCATTGTTCTCCAGCTGTGATAACCAGTGGCTTTCCCCCTGCCAGAATAATGTGCCTCGTGTCAGGAAACCCAGGGGAACCCTCAACAGGAGAGCTGAGAGCCCCTCCCAGGGCCCAGAGGGGCTCCAGGAGAGCTGGAGAGGGACTGGGGACAAGGCATGGAGGGACAGGACACAGGGAATGGCTTCCCACTGCCAGAGGGCAGGGAGAGATGGGATACAGGGAAGGAATTCCTGTCTGGGAGGGTGGGGAGGTCCTGGCACAGGTTGCCCAGAGAAGCAAGGCAGCTGTGACTTTATCTGTGGGGCAAAGACCCCCTGATCCAGGCACAGATC